CTGAAATAGACCTTATTTTTAAAGGGTTAAAGATGAATTTGTTGCACCCTTTTGTCACTGGAGTCTCTCTCTGGCTTTTACCTAGCTTTCTTTCTGGCTCTTGCATTTTCCACAAAAAGAATTCAGAAAAGATGCATAGAACATGCTGGAGAAGACAGGCAGAGTTATTTGCAGAGTATATGTGGCATCCTCAGAAGATGAAAATGGAAATGGCCAACGTGTCAATGAAGAGTAGAGTATCTGTCAATGGGTAGATGAAGATGGACAATGGTCAGGGAGACCATGGTGTCTATTTAAGTTTTCAGCAGGTTTTATATTTATAAAGTCTCTGCAACAGACAGCTTTCCTGAGTCATGTTTTTGCTGTCAAGGTGATTGACAGAACCATTTGGATTGATGACTGCATGTCAGGGCAACGATTTGTGAAGCCACTTTCTGGATAGTAATTCTAGAAAGTTGAGGACTCTTAAAATCAGTATTGAGTAGTTACCAGTTAATGGCCTTACTGGACTCTCAAAACGCCCTGTCTCCTCCCAGTACCAGAAATAGGACTAAGATCCTATCACCCTGACTGGTAATTAGCATTGAGCCTACATATTTGAATTTCATGATATCACTTTAGAATAATACAGCAGCTGTATTTATGGTTCGAACTGCTGCTGCCACAATTCTTTGTTCTCATTTTCATACTTCCCCATCATAAAGGTGGTGGAATTTTTTCCCTCTGGAACCATAAGCACAATATAAGCCCTTCCTTCTGTAAATTGCCTTGGCCAAAGTTTTTTATCACAAAGTAGAAAAATAACAAATTCAGACAGAAATTTCAAACTCCGGCAAGGGTGTGTTCAAAATGTTAAGATTTAAAAGTTCTCGGTGTGGTAAGCTGTTGTTTATGAAGAAGGTATCTAACCTAATATACTAAGTTATTTGAAAAAAGAATTATACTGGATGACCACACACCCAAGAATATATAGGCAACACTAATTGACCTTGATATACTAAAAAATGAAGACCCCAAGTTGACTGGGTAGGGAACTGGGAGTAGATCTGGGAGGATTGGGAAAAGGGAATGAATATGATCAAAATGAAATATAACAATGTATGAAATTGTCAAATAATAAACATGTTCTATTGCATCTTTTAAAAATATCTTTTTTAAATTTTTGACATTATAATATAATTACAAGTTTTCTCCTTACCCTTTCCTCCTTCAACCCCACCTTCATGTATTCCTCTTTCTTTCAAATTCATGGTCTCTTTTTAAATAATTGCATGCACATATGTATATGTATACACATATGTTTTACTAAATCTAATCTGTTCGGCCCATATACTGTTACTTTCATATATGTTTTCAGGAAGGATCATTTGGTATTGAATAACCACTTAAGGAATTGAAACATTAATATGTATGAGTTATGCATGAATCTGTTGGAATATTCAATTTTTCAAAATTATTGACTACTTATATCTCCTATTCATAATAATACTAGAAATATCAAAAATAAATTTATTATAATAAAAAAATTCTATCAAGTAAAACCATGTATCTCAAAGCTTTTACTTTAACAGCTATAATGGTCATTGCTCAAAATAGTAGTATTCAGTAGTTCTGAAATCAAAAATGAGCTTAAAGGTTAAGTTTCTTGTCACTTATCGATGGGAGAATTAATACCCTATAACTTACACTTAACGCAATTTTGCACCAAAACTTTTGATGACAAACTCTGAGAAGAGACCCTCAGAGCATGTTGTAGCTACTAAGACCTAGAAGGTCTGACGCACTGCGACCTGTGAAATCTTCAGAAAACATGGAAGTCTTTCTGGTGTCTGCTGGGACACAGTGCAGAAGTAGACAGCACTGCTGGGGAGAGCTGGAGAGGAGCCATGTGGGAGGGAAGACAATGTGCTTCAGAGTTGAGCTGAGCCGAATGTTCTGGTCAGAGAAAGGTCAGTCTTGACAAGAGCAGGGACGGCACGCTGTGCCAAACTCAGACGCCAAGCCACAGAGCCAGTCCAACTGGTGGATTCCATTTACTCTCAATTATGAGCCTACCAAAGGGTCTTTTGTTTCATGTCAATAAGAATGGCAATCAAAATAAGCTCTAACAGGTGCAAAAGCTTATTTTGCCCTGGGTTAAAAGTACCTATACCAAGATATGGCTTGCCAGTCTAGGTTGGCATCCAGGAGGTAGCTATTTTTTTCCATGTGGGTGACAGGTTCTTAGCAGAGATGTATCAGCAAAGTTAGTCACTGTTGTTACTGTAGCATAATATTTTTATTTCAAAGTGATTATTAAACCAGCTACTGACTGCTGCATTGCTGGGTCTAAAGTCATTTCAGTACTTGGCATTTGAGCACACTCTTGCCGAAGTTTGAAGTTTCAGTCCAAACAGCTTTGGTGGCTTTCTGCCATTTTGAAAAGCTCCCTAGGGCCTCTGGGTCCAGCTGTTTCAGTAAGCTGAATTGTGGAGTTAATTCTGAAGGGGGATAATGAAATTCCAGTATGTACCACTGTGTCAGTAAATCAAAAATTTTGATTGAAGGAACCAGCTTTTTCCCCTGGGTAACAAGAATGAGGAGTTAATATGCTAATTTGAGTCTGAATTCAGCCCCTTTGCTCTTCTGATTTTGTATTAATTCTCCCGTTTATGCCTGTGCACATGTCAATCTGAAAATCTGCTAGTGGAATGGACAGCCTGCTGTCTGAGGTGCAGAGGCAGAGCCACAGATTAGGTGTTCCCTTGGGGGTCTTTTCAGTCAGGGCTCTGAATGCACAGCTTATCTCTCATAAACTTGGTTCCCCCTAGAGAAACTTTAAAAGAGGCTTTGTTTTTTGCCAAGAATTTCTTTTTTGGATGTCAGCTTAATTAACAATGATCCAAAGAAAGAAAAATGAATTCTTTGTGGTCTGTGTAAGTCCTGATTTCCTACCCTTATTTTGTGAGGGTTTTTTTTGTTTGTTTTTTGTTTTTAATTGAAACTAGTTTCTCAGAAGCACCTAAAATAACCATTAAGTGTGAAGGGGAAAAAAACTGCAGTTTCTGGATGTTCTGAGGTGGTTTCCACCTTCCTGTTTCTAGGTTATATTTAAGAAATTTTAATAAGCTATGAAAGTTTTCAGAGATAGAAAGCAAAAAGGATATTAGCTATGATTATAAAATATTGGAATTTCATATATTCAAAAATATTACTAACAGTGTACTGTATGACAGATTCTGGCATTAACATGGTCTACAAAGGTGTAATGTGTGCTTCCCTTAAAAGTCACATATAAACAATAGCAACATTATTACTTATTAATATATATTAACAGATGGTGTAATTTCTCTCCAAAGTAAACATAGATAGGACAGAAATTTAGAGAGGAAAAACTTGAACAGAGCCTGAAGAGCCTTTCATGGAGCAGGGGATGGAAAATGAGGACATATGGTTTTAGGAATTCAAGATGGAAGACACAAACAAGCAGTGAGAAAAATGCCACATGGGGGACATTGGTGTCCTGTAGCACTACAAAATCTCTGTTAAGACTGAATGTAAAGTTTAAGGTAAAATTCCTGGCAGATGAGATTGGATTGTAATCAAATATCAAATCACTTGACCAATGAAACATTTCTAAATATATGATAGTTTCTCCTTGTGACAGATACTATGCTAAGCAATGGGTGGAACACTAAGATTTGTTACCCACTCATGCTTTGTTAAATAAAAGTTTCACTGCCTCAGACAAAATACTATGGTATTAAAAGGTACCATATTGTCATGCCCACAGCAGACATGCTGGTCGGACATTCTGAAATGGTCTTCTTCCTTCCTGTCCTCACAGTCTCTGCCTGGGTTAATTTCCTCGAGTTTTTTTTTTTTTTTCTTTCTTTTTCACATCCTTCAATGTCACATCTACCAAGGGGCCTTCTCCAAATATGTAGATGAGATTAGGTCCCCATTATCCACACTGACATGTCCTCCTGCTTCGATTCTCCGCAGCAATTACATTAAATGCAATTAACTACCTCTGCAATTATTTGTTTAGCATTCACCATCCATTAGCGTGTTGACATCCCATTGAAAGGGAAGGTATTTGTCTTGCCAAAGATAATCTTCAGCTCTTGACAAATGTTCTCTGTACATTCCTGTGTAAATACATGGTATGTAGGGGATAAATGAAGATGGGTAAGAGAGAAACAAAAAATCTGAGGTTGAAACAGCTTAAAGAATGAATAAAATTAGGAAATAGAAAAGAGAGAATGATGAGGTGGTTTGATTTCTATATTTCTACCTTGCTGATTAATAAGCACTATGAATAAATAATAAGGCAAGGTTTGAACTCTCCTGGAATAAATAACTGGTTCACAGTTCACTAAATTGTTTTGTTTCCTTTAGGAAGATGTAATATCATTCCAGTCTCATTTTTATTATTTTAAAAACATTTAATGTGGACTCTTTCTGTAATGTATTAACAAATGCAATTTATAGTCATTGTTCTACGCTTTAGGTTCAGGAGACTATACACTTTCATTTCTGTCTTGATATTTCTGATATTCATCCACTATCACAACTGAAATATATATATTTCATATATATATATATATTTCATATATATGTATATATATATATGGTGTGTGTGTATGTGTGTGTATGTGTGTGTATGTGTGTGTGTGTGTGTGTGTGTGTGTGTGAGAGAGAGAGAGAGAGAGAGAGAGAGAGAGAGAGAGAGGCAGAGAGAGAGATTAAAATTTATTAAGTTAAAGATTGAAAAACTTAGAGATATTCTTACTTTTGCTGTCAGATCTATTTTAGTACTGCTTATGCTTGGATGCGAAATAAAAGTAGGGACCAAAACAGCAAATCTATAATTATTCTGAAGTTTAATTTAAGTATATAAACCTTTATGGCAGCTAAAAGGTGATTTCTACAAGTACTTTATAAGCTAAACTGTCACGCAACTATCTCATAACTTATTCCCTTGATTTAAATTAAAGGTATTATCTGCTTCTTTCCAGTTTCACAAAGAGAAAAGGAAAAAGGAAAAGAAAAAATCAAAGAAGGAGAAAAACCCGAGAAGAAAGGTATGTAGTTATTGTTTTTACCACTCTAACATTAAGGATTTTCCCATTGGCATTTCTCTTCATCACATTTAGACTTTAGAGAATGTAGATTTCTTCTTCTAAATTTTGTGTTATATTTATTTTCATGGACTAGAACTCCCAAAGAAGAGTTCCTGGACTACAGCACATTAGGCTCTTGTTATCAAGTTTGTCTTAGGAAATATGTCAGCCTTTCCTTGGGTGATTGTGCTCTTGTTAGAGAATATTACCTGAGAAAATACTGGTCAGTTCTATAGGGGAAAAGCCACTCTTATGACTTTAATATAATTCTGTTGCCTATTATATTACTGTATTTGTTATTGTTTGTTCATTGAGAAAGGATAGGTAAGCCGACTTCACTGTTTGAATCATGAAGATGCACCGTGAAAACCTTCCCCACACTGCTCTAACCTCACATTTCCCATTGCATCTCGACCCGTGTGTTGACATAGCCACTTGTGTGAGGTTTTGCGAAGCTCTCTAGAGCTTCACTAACAATATGTAAATAACATTTATATAATTAATATATGATGAATTTATGTATATGATGCTTTACTATCATATTAGTAGTTTATGTTATTTGCCCTTATTTTATACAAAATCTAGCATGTCTTATATTCTAACTTTCATAAATCAAAAATTCATCCTAGAAAATTTTCCATATCTGCGCATATTTTTTCATTGTTTTTACAAAGCTTCATAGTATTTGCAAAAGCCTATCTTATGTTGTATACCTTAACTTATTGTTATTTGTAGAGTCAACCTTACTATGATTTTAGGGTTATAGATTTCTTCCTGTGTGACTGTTCACATCTCTTGTCCGTTCATCCCCTGGTGTGTGTGTGTGTGTGTGTGTGTGTGTGTGTGTGTGTGTGTGTGTGTGTGTGTGTGTGTTTATTCATTTTCCTATAGTATTTCCTATAGTATATATTATATTATATGTATGTTATTAGTATATATTTTTCTATAGTCTTATAGAATTAGGACATTCATTTGAGATTTACTCTATAGTAATAGCTTTCTTAAGTTTTTTTTTTAAATGTTCCTTAGTTTATATTTTCTTTGATCGACTCCAGTCTGCGTCATCGTTTTGTGTGAAGCAAGATTATGGTTGACTTTGGCTGTTGTTTGACTGTGTCACATTGGCCTCCACAACATCAGAGCCATCTGACTTTTCAGGGTTGCGAAACACTGCAGCTTAGAAAGAATATGTAGAATAGACATGATGTTTATGAACCAGAGCAGAAGAAACATGCTCCAGTATTACTTATTACATAGTCACACTTGAATATTAGAGTTAAATAGTTGCTCTTTTATTAATATTTAGTTAGTGGTAATTTCCTTGAATTTTAAAGCTCCTCCTGTCTTCTTTGTCTGTCTCAGACATCTTTGTTCATTTCTCATCTGCTGGTGAGATACCACATTCTGAACATAGGGTTCTATATCCGACAAAATCAAATAATTTTGTGGTTCTTATTAATTTTCAAGATTCAATATTGCTAAATGTTTTCTTTAAATAACTAAAAATTTGCCCTTAAATTATAAATGTAGAAAATTCACTCAAATTGAAAAATCAGAAATAAAATGCTTTCTGAGTTTCCTATATGCCAGTTAAAGATGTTTATGCTTTATGATACACTATATGGAAATGTTGGCAACTTTCAAAAATGGGCTGCACATGCTATTAGACCTTTCAGATTATCTTAACCTCAGCAGGGAGACCTCAGGATTTCTTAGTGCATACAGAACACAGACATGTTAAATAAATTAACTAAACAAAAAAGGGGAAGATATATTTCAGGTATCCTGTAGTATATTGTTAAATTAAAATCCTTATTATTTTAATAATCATTTTGAATTATCTTATACAGTGATGTTGATTCTCAGAGAAAGGTGTTACCCATTAGGGAAATGTTTTGCTTGTGAAATGACATTGACGTCCAGCAATTGGTAAGCAGGCACTAAAAAGGCTCATCATCTTTGCAATGTCTAAAGCAGCCCCTTAGGTGGGAGAGTTGCTTTTTCTCAAATGCCAATTGTGTTCCTGTTGAGGAACACTTGGTTAATCAGTATTCAGTCAAGATAATATCATTTCTTGTTATTAGTGCTAAAAAGAATTATTTTCACTGTGTGTGTGCTGTAAATTTGTTATAAAATTGGTTTTTTTTTTTGGATTTCTTTCCTGAGAACATTATATACTTGGAGTAGAAACCTATGAAAGAAAGGTGACAGATCTAGCTTTCAACATACTATTTGTTTGTTTTGGCCACAGTCTCACTATTTAGCCCTGACTGTTCTGGAACTAGTCTTGGACTCACAGACATCTGCCTGCCTTTGCCTCCCTAGTACTTATTAAAAGTATTTGCCACCACAACCAGCTACTTTCTATTTCTTAACGTCAAATTGTATAATGTACTCTATGCTGTGATTACCCACTGATTACTATATTCCTAAGATGAGTCCCTCAGTGTCATAAATCCCCAGTTATTCTATGATTTGGGTGCCTATAAAACTGTAGTCAAAAGAAAATCGGATTTGAAATGTATTAAAAAGTATATGGGATTTGGAATTTCATGATGTTAATTTTCTGTTTAAGCAACCCACAAGGAGAAACTTGAGAAAAAAGAAAAAGGAGAGACAAAGACAACGGCAAAAGGTAACTTTCACCTTTATTATCTTCATCCTTGAAGTCTCTTGACGACGAGAGTGTCTATTTTGGCTGAAACTTGAATGTTTGTAATCATTTTCCATTTCATTTAAATACAATGATTTAAAATTGGGTATCTAAAGAATAATAAAACCAAATACATCAAAAAATATCATCTCAAAACATGAAAGGAAAATTCAATGTCCTCACACGTGATTGTCAGAATTTTGTCCTCTATGACCTTTATCCCACGGTGTCATCCCCATGACAATTTTGCAGAGGTAGTCAAGTTTGAACTAAAAATAGGGAAATGACCCTAATGTAACCACCTGCACCCAACAAACAGCTCCAATGTATTTAAAAGCCAAGAAATTTCACAGAAAGCAAAGCAAGTTTTAAAGTGTGTTGTTTTAGCCTCCTTGGCTACCATGAAAATTATGGGGGATACAGGGGGACACAGAACAACAACAGGAAGCAAATTCTGTATTCATGCTGAATAAGCATGGAAATCAGTTTTTTCCTACAGGAAATCTACTAAAGAGCACAGTAGATTGGTGGTTTCATTTTGGTCTTGTGAACCCTGTGACGAAACCAGAATTTGCATGCAAAAAGCACTGTGATAATGTGCTTAAAGCCCATGAAAACATTACTTCCATATTTGGGAAAATTAATTGAGCTGTATTTTTTCTGCCCTAAGTTGGCCTACCCAATGTTTTAAGTGTTTGAAAAAATTCACATTTTAACTAATAGAGCAATTATGTCTCCTCAATGTAAATGTTTCCTCATATTTTAAAATGTGTTTGATATAAATAATATACTGGAGCAAACTTATTCCAGCACCATCAAGAAACTAGTTATGTATGGAAAATAATGTATCTCTATCAAATAAATAACTATTTATATCATATAAGAATAATTGAATTTTTAGAATAGATTCTGAAGCCAAAATTTGTGTTAATTTATTGTTCTTTCAATAGGATACAGACATATCTGGTCCCACATTTTTTACAAATATGATTCTTTGCATTTGGTTTCCTGGTGCTGGGATTATGAGCTTGTGTCAAAATATTTAGCTTTTTATATGGATGAGGGGATTGATTTCAAGTCCTCATGCTTACACTTTACCAACTAAGCGATCTCCACAACCCTTCAAATTCTTATAGTAATGTTAAAGTGTATTCACTAAATACAAAGGTGAAGTTTGAGCATCCAGAAGCCAAATGCAAAGTATCATATTTGTAAAAAAAAAAAAAATGTGAGAAAAGATGTGTTTCCTATTGTTAGAACAAAAATTTATCACAAACTCAGAACAGAAATAATGACCTTAGGTTGACTAATATGGGGTTTTAATACAATTACTTGCTAACTCTTTGTCTTGCACATTACATAGTTCACATTTGACTCATGTGGTTCATTGATGTCTTTGTCAGTCTCCTGTTCTTTGTCACAAATTCACACTGACATGATAGTTGACTTTCCTAAACCTAGCAACAGAGAAAAATCAAGACAGAAGTCATGATTTTAGGTTGACTAATACGGAATTTTAATCCAATTACTTTTGCCATAGACTATTATTTAGCATATTTACAAGACTAGTCAGCACTTACTAAGAGAAGAATGTAGGGGTTGTTGGAAGCCATCTTCAGCCTTCGAGTATAGATGCTTCCCATTTACATATGTTAATCTTGATAAACAGATATAAACAATTTATATTCATTTCACACACGTATAATATCCTCACATGTGTATCTTCATGTAATTTACTCTATGTATACAAATTATATTAGGGCCAGAAATTGCATACATGATCTTTATATGACATGTGGGAAATATGGTATTTTCTAGGAAAATAGAAGGCTAAATAGGACAGATGATATTTGAGTTAGAAATAAAAGTGAACTCCTTTAGAATCGTGTGATAGGTGTTGAAGCTAATGACTTCTTCCGGCACTTTCTTAGAACACTGGTTTTTGTTTTGTTTTGTTTTGTTTTGTTGTTATTGTTCTATTTAAACTACAATCTATCCAGGACAGTAATTTTCCAGACCGTCCTAGAAATTCTTCCTGAAAGAATGTACACAATTCGTTGTCACACTGTGACTGGTGCATATAGTAGGCCTTCTATGCACAGTGCCTGTTTTTTGTAGTTCAATGCAGAGGAAAAAAGAGAAGGCAGGAGAAGAAGTCAAGAGGAGTGAGTCAAAGTCAGGCCTGGTCTCACCCCCCCACCCTCCACTTTTCTCCAATGGGAGACAAATTTACTTATTTTAAGCATGAAAAGTTTTTGTCATGCTTCTGTTGAATGTGTGCTCTTGTCTCCAAGAATTTACTTTGCCAGTTAAAAAGTCCAATGGTGTTAAAATAGATCTGAATTTCACCAATCTTTAACTCCCCAGTACAAGGATAGAGGTAAAATCAATTGTCCTCTGCAAGGCACAGGCAGATGGCATTTAAGATAGCTAAAATCACATTTTCACACAAAAGTATAAACAAATAAACAAGAAGGTTGGTAAAGTTTCAAAGTACAAATATGTTTATTCTAAACTTTTTATGTATATGTGAAGCATACATATCACTGTATCATGTCCATGACACACATATAGTAAAACATTTATTCCTTGAGTCACCCTTTCTAGTTTACAATACATTAATTCTCTTTTTCTCTGAAAATAAGCATTTTATTAGATACAAAGGTAATAAAAAAATAAAAATTGAGTTCCCGAACTCAAGTTGTTCCCAGCCTGGCAGGGGAAACAGATTAGTGAACAATCCTGTACAATTCCAAATATACAATAGGGAATAAAGTTCACATCTTCCTTAATAAAAGTGCCAGCAAATTGAAGCTAAAAGGACAGGATGATTAATTCCAGCGACAGCAGCTTTTTGTATATGAATGTATATTATGGTATTCAAATATATAGAAAAATATTGAGATGGTACTTTGACAAAGTCTGATGGATAAAAATTATATGACATTAAAAAAATGAGCATAGCTGTCCAGGAAGAAACTTGAAGCAGGATGAATCCAGGTATCACAGTGTCTTAAATGCTGGGCTAGAATCTCTAGAGATGATGACAATGTGATGATCTTTTAACTCTGTCAGGTACCAATGAGACATGCCCTATCGAGGTTCTCTGGAAGGGAAATGTAGTTGTGCAAGTCAAGTATATATGAATTTGTTGTACAAAAGAAAGCAGCAGAGGATATTGTTTGTAACATTTGAAAGAGATGAAAATTTCCACCATATAGTCAAAAAGTCACATGTTTATGAAGAGAGGATTATATGAGAATTTTATGGCAATAATGTTCAATAATTTGGTTACCATAATGTCCATCCATGTAGAATCTCAATGCAATTCATCTCGGAGGCATACAAGGGTAAAGAAACTATTATAACTTTCTGCTTTTCAACTTCTTTCATTCTGATATCTAAGGCAGCATCATCTCTCAGGAGTGTCTACAAAATAGTGTATCCAATGCTGGTCTCATTGATTGAATATTATATCACAGATGATTTTAGTTTTGTAAATAGACTTTTTCAAAAAAATATATTATTATTCTTTGCAAGGGAAATACATAGGCTTCATTTGCATCAAAACAAAATGTATGGAGTGCATTGTTTTCATCAAATTCTTTAACATGTGTATCAAGAATACCTCTACAATGGATTGAAAATGACCAGATAGATTCCCCTCATTGTATGTCAATAGTTGTATACGGTCCCATATGCATATGCAAAATAAGTCAAATATACAATACCCATTACAACTAATATTCATAAATAAAGTATATTTTCAATGATTTAAAAAATAATGATTGAGTCACAGAATGATTAATCTGTAAACCAGTTCCCTCTCAAAAAAATACATATATTACCAAGTTAATGTGTATTGAATAGATATGTACATTGGTATATATTTTGCTTACTAGCACCCTTTCCTAGGACATTTTTAAGGTTTACAAAGCATTAGAAATGTCATCTCTGGCTTAGGTTAGTAGGAATGCATATCTGTTTCTATGTTGTAGGCTTTGCAGTCCCAGTCTTCAGGGATGTCTACCTCTCAGTTATTCTCTAGAGGGTTTCATTATCCTAGTTTTGTTAATCAGCACCATGCAGGTAATTTTTCATTTGTATCCCTTGCATTTATCTTCGGAAAAATTATTGTATCAGAATTACTGTTTTGAGCAATGCTTACTATTTTTCAGTTATGGAGCAAAGTGATCACATTCTTTTAAAAGGAAATTCTTCAACTGGGCTCTTTACTGTGAACATTTTTCTTACTGAAGAAGTAAGAAGCCTCTGCATATGACAAATGACTCACTGTGGACAGCTTAGCTTTTGATTAAAAAATCAATTGCAAACAAACAAACAAACAAACAACAGTAGTGGAAACAAAAATCCAAATCAGTCTTCTCAGGTGCAGATTCAGAAAGAGATGCATCTTGCTGATGACTTGTATGTCTAATACAAAGTATTTATAGATTTTATAATACTCTGGCAACTGTTAACATTATTTACACCAGGGACACCCGTTTTCTATTGATTTTCTTGTTTGTCTTTAAAATGGTACTTGAGGAATAATGATTGTTGAAGAACTATGTGAGCAAATGAGAAAAAAATAACTTTAACTCTTTGCAGAAGAGAAGAAAGCTAAGACTAAGGAAAAGACTGAAGAAAAGACCAAGAAGGAAATGAAAGTCGGGAAAAAGGAGAAAGGGAAGCCAGCAGCTGCAAAAGTGAAAGAAACTCCTTCAAAAACCCCACCAAAAGCCAGAGAGAGGGATGACAAAGAGACCACAGCTGTGCCTGAGCATGAACAGAAAGGTAAACATTCCCAGGAAGCAGCAGCCAGAGGTTCTAAGAGAATCTTAGGCAAGAAGCAGATGCAGTCAAAAGCTGAAAAAGAATAAAATTAAACCTCAAATGGGGTAAAAAGACAGATCCAAGCTGATATGCCTGGGAGGAAATACAGTAAATTGGGTATTAACATACTAATAAATATACTAAGATGTGTTCAAATAGCCAGGTACATTTTCAAGTATTTTAAAGGGTGTTGAATGAGCACCTGGAGTTATTTAAATGTGGGGCTGAGTGCTGAAATCTTGGATTTCAATCAGGAGTTGGAATAACAATTGAACAATTTTATGTGTCAGACTCTGGAGAAAGGTGGTTTTAAAAATTAACAGCCACTCTCAAGGAGTTGCTCAAGAAGCCAATGTACAAATCATATAGAAGAAAAAAAAAATCACGAAAACTTTACATCCTTGACATTGCTGCAATGATAGCATTAAGAATATGTGCATTAAGTTACCAGTTCATTTAATTGTTGCAGGAAACCTGTTGTAAGAAAAAGAAGTGTCAGGGTGCTTTTTCAGTCCCCTTACAAAATCTTTAGGAAGCTCTGCTTAGGACAGGTATGGTCTTCTTCAAGTATGACGTGTGTACTCACTTCCCAGAAATACGACATGCAAATGGAGATGAAATCCTTTACAGAAAGGTGCTGTATGAATATAAACCGGTCATTGAGGACCTCTTTGTCCCACCATTAGAGTCCTTTTGAGTTCTTCATCCCAAAATTCATTCTTCCGTCCAGGTTGCTACAAATCCTGACTTCCCTAGTCAGAACATAAGAGTCTGCTGAGTGGGAACTGTTTCGGGGAATGATGCCTTTTCTTACAAATGTTACAAAATAAAAATTTCCTTTATTCCGGTAGCAATTGAATAATTTTATTCAAAAACTAAAGTGGACGGATTTGTGTCTATACAACTTTAGTGTTACTTTTAAACTTTATTATGAGGAAGACTGGTCTGTAGAACTGGGAAAAAATTTTCCTCAATATAAGGTACATAATATGAATTACACACTCTGTATTTCATCTTTTTTTCCTAACTTCAAGTGTATATAAACTTTGATACAGAGCTAATGCATGTAAACTTAGATTTATATAACAAAAGATACATTTGCAAATAAAACAAGAAAAGAAGAAAGGAGTAATTCATTACTTTTTTTCTTTTGCTTTTTTTTTCTTTTAGTGGTTCATAAGCTTTAGGTAGCTATTGTTTTCAAGATGATTATCGGATCTTGAATAATTGAAAATATAAAGTGTTATCTTTGTAAATAATGTCATGTATGAGTCTGTGTGCTTTAAAATATACAATAAAGAAAATATTTTAAATGGGTATCTTACTGTGATAAAAATCAGGAAAATTAATCTTTTGATTCACTATATGCACAGTTGGATAATATGCATTACAAATTGCCCTTTTAGAGAAGAAAAGAGTAACACGAAACCAATTAAAACATACATGTATATTTTAATTTATAATTTCATTATAGAAAACATATGCCATCTACACTGAACATCAGAATATTTATTTAATAAGTAGGCACAGGAGTACAGTTTGAGATGTTTACCTTTAGTGTCTCTCAGGGTTTGGGAACCATATTTCAATGATAAACTGGTTGCACGAAGATATTTTCAAAGGGTGTTTATTTTTCAGGTCACAAATACTGTATTTTGTCACATCACTAGTCAAATTTATTAAAGACATAAATATATCCCAATTCCATTTCAATTTACTCTTTTTATGTTTATGCAAAGAGCTAGTTATCCATTAAAACAAAACCCAAATACAATTTCCAGTTAAAAGCAGAGGCATGAAAAGGATTCTAATATCTAACAAACAATACGTTAAGGCATGGCCACATACTGAGAACTGCCACCACCAATTAAATAATTGTATAATTAAACAGATAATAAAAATTTAACTTATGCTGGCTTATAGCTAGAGTTTTTCTGGTCCTGCCTGGCCCACAGTCAGGACAAATTTCTCACACCCATAAGTCCTGCAGCCGCTCAGACCCAACCAAGTAAACACAAAGAGACTTATATTTCTTACAAACTGTATGGCTGTGGCAGGCTTCTTTTTATCTAGTTCTTATATCTTAAATTAACCCATTTTTATTAGTCTGTAAGTTGCCACGTGGCTCGTGGCTTACCGGTACCTTACATATCCCTTGTCATGGTGGCAGCTGGCAGCATCTCTCTGCCTCAGCCTTCTACTTCCCAGAATTCTCTCTTTTGCTTGTCCTGCCTATACTTCCTGCCTGGCTACTGGCCAATCAGCATTTTATTTATACAGAGCTGTATTCACAGCAGTAGCTGGTCTAAAACAAGGCAATTTTTTTCTCTTCCTTAATTCTATCTTTCTTCCTTTCCTTCTTTCTTTTTAACTAAGCTGCTATTTAAGAGCATTTGTTTTTAAAACGCTGGTCACATGGTAGTAACAGTTTAAACAAAATGAAGACGTGGCATTTTCTATTATTTTTTTATTTTTTAAAAAGAGGTGGCTTCAATTTTTACATTCCTAAATTGATAGCATAACAAAGTTGAGTTATTCTTTTCTGAGCAAAATAAGGTTTTTTTGGATAGCTTAACTATGTCTAATAAAGGTGGCAATATATGTTCATACATACATACATATATAAGTATATATACATGTACATATATATATGTATGAATTTTTAAATTTATTTTCACATTAATGCTATGTGTGTATGTCTATTTGTGAATTTATGCTAAAGAATGCAGGTGCCTCCCAAGGCCAGAAGAAGGTATCAGATTCCCAGGAACTGGTTCTGGAAGATAAATTCACCTCTTCTCTAAGAGCAGGAAGCATACAGATATTTAAAAAAAATATCACTTTAAACACCCAATGCCCTTGGTTCTTTTGGAAAGAATCTTGTCTGGGACAATAAAATTTGTTAGTAAGATTTGCTTATAGAATAAAAGTATCAAAAAACACCTCATTTGGTTATTTTCAATATTTACTTTTGCAGTTTATAAACAATGTATATATACTTAAAGCATTGAAAATGCTTACTATAAAGTTACTCATACTTGCTTATCATATAATCTGCTTTTTATAGACCATTTCAAAATCATTCAAGGTGAGGTGGCATGACATGGTGAGGCTGATATGATTTGACATTCCTTCCTGGTTCTACTGCTTTTCTGCCAAGTCTGTGAGGAAATAAAGGTCTCACAACTGTTATATACTATGCTCATTCTTTGCTTATTTTCATTATTTTTTTTCTAACAACAATTCAAGTACTGGTGGCAGCCAGAGAAAGTATATCTAATGAGAACCTGCCATAGCACACCAGGCCACATGCATCCCATCTTCATTAGAGATTGTTTGTTGGAAACCTTTTTTGTTGATATTCTGTGACCAGAATGCATTTTCCCTTGGCTAATGCTCCACAAGGAGCACCGGCTGGGCATCAGCACCTGAGTGGCATAGCCAGTGCTCCCTGAGGAGCCACAAGACAGGAATGGACAACATAAAATTAATTCTAGAAGAGTATTTTTTTTTTTTTTGCAAAATATCTTCAAAGTGGTTACCAAATAGAAAATTACCTTATAGAAGTCACTGCCCTAAATCTATAAATACCAGAGTGGTGGGACAGTTCAGATTTTCTTCAAGTTTCCTAATGTATTGGATTTGGAGAAGTATTTCCATAAAATGAATATTCTAAAATCCAGAAGCCTTGGCTATGCTCTCTCCTCAGGCAGATGAAGTCCAACACCAGCTTCCAGAATTTTCACAGAGTGTTAAGGTCAACCCTAAGGATAGGTGGAATTCAGCATTATAACAAAAAAAATAATTTAAAACATACATAAATATTCTTGTTAAGTTCCCCTTGATATGTTGAAGTCGTCAGAATGCCAAGTCACATATTGTTTACATGTGGATATTACTTTTAAAGTGTCATTACCTAAGTAATATTCTAGGTGAAAAAAACAAAACAAAAACAAAAACCCACCACCACCACCAACAAACAAATTCTTTTGAATCCACAAATGATTTTCCACTTCATATTAAAATCTTATTCATGCACTAATTAAATGAATTACTTTTGGAACCAGAAGTCATGGGCATGATAAATATAAGCAGCTGATATCAGATTGAAAAGTTTTACTGCACTGTAAACAATCAATTAATAAGAAAAACTAGAGGGTACTTTTAATTAACTCAGAGAAACATTCAGCATGGCCTGGATGTAAACACCCTATTACACTTGGGGACAGAAAACAATATTTAATATTGGGGGAGTGTGAAACCCGAAAATTGCGAAGAGAAAGCCAAAATCCACAGTAGTCCAACTAAAGCAAGCTTTATTAAATACTGGCCAGTTCCATACCTGAGATCGGCAGAGAATGGCGCTGAATCAGGTCAGTCAGGGCCCAAACCCACAAGGCTAAATAAAGTACTTCCAACCTCTGTCCCATGGGGGAAGCATACGTCCGGACGAACGTCCTTGTTCCCTACCTTCCACCATGTGTGACCAAGCACAGCCTGTGCGGTTGGAGCTACCAACTTGTTTACCGAAGTGAAAACTCATGACTTGCTATCTTCCATGAACAACAGCCCCCAGCATTCCAAGAAGTTATCCGTCCTTGGGCAAGTGGGCCTTACAGGTTAACTTTAGCGTGTTCAGGAGGTATACAAATACCTTTTTTTTTTTTTATCATAAATAGTCTATACATTATATACTTCGGACCTATATAACAAATAATAGGGAAAAATGCTATTCCAGGAAGTTAAATTACACATAGTAATATTTTTAAATATAAATGAAGGAAAAATAGAGAAAAACAAATGGAAGGTTGTAGATAGTGATCCTATGCCTGGCATTGTTACTGTCCAGAGATCTTGATCAAGTGTATTTTCTATGTCAGTTAAAGAATTAAAATTTAAGAAGAATCAGGAGTGCAGCAGGTATCAGCAGGAAAAATATCTCAGACAGAATGACCAGGTGAAGAAACGTTTTTGTTAGGGGTGAGGAAGCAAGTGCCCTGAGAGAAAGACCTTCAGTAGAGCAGAAGGAAGCCCAAGTCCCTTCTCTCCTCGGGCGTCATTCCTTTGAAGTCTTCATCCCCTAATTTAGGATGAATCAGTGTGAAAAATAGAGAGAGCGATGAAGTCACAGCTTGGAGGCAAACACATCCTGGTCAGGCATTGAACCCAGAAGACTGGCTCACTAGCAGGGAGCCCTATTGGAGAGAGGGAAAGGATGCCCAGCCTGGTTTTAAGCTGTACTAGAAGAGGTGAAGAAGGTCATCTTTATTATGTATCTCAGGCTCCTGTCCCAATCTGTCTGCTCTCAGGCATCTAACTCAGAGTCACTCAGTATAATTAGACAATGTGGGGGGACTGTTAACAACGTATACTTATAGCAGATCCACGGTGTTACAATTTTGTGGGTAACAGATTCCATACATTTATATTTTTGCATATTTTTAAATCTTTTTTTAGAAATATTCCTGAACCATAGGAAGGAAAACAGGGAAAGACAGACAAGGTCCCAAACAAGGGGGGAAATGGGCATTTCACACTACTCCAAATTCATATATTCCAGGTAAAGAAAAAAGACACTTGGCCTCACTTAGTAGCAAATTATCTATTCTGTAACAAAGAAAAAAAAAACAATGTGTCCAGGAAAAAGAAAAAGAGAGAAAAAGATAAAAGCCTATTGTAATGTTACTTTTACCTAATACCACAGGATTCCCAGAGCCTGGGATGCGACAAAACTCATCCTTGAAGGTGCTTCACTGAACAAGCAGATCGCTGGCTGGTCTGAAAACTAGCCTTTTCTATTCCTCGCTTCATTTCAGCAACCTGAGTGCATGTCAGCTTTAGAAATAACATAAGCTTTGACGCCCTTGTTTCAGTATTAAAGAAAAGGATTCTATTTTTCAGATCTACTGCAGTAGCTACATTTACCATTTTATTTATTTATTTTTGTAATTTCTTTTATTAAGAATTTTTTTATTCATTTTACATACCAACCACAAACCCCCCCTCTCTTCCCTCCTCCCGCTGCCCTTACCCCCTACCCATCCCCCATTCCTACCTCCTCCAAAGCAAGGTAAGGCCTCCCATGAGGAATCAGCAAAGTCTGGAACATTCCGCATGTCCAAGCCCCTCCCCCGGTATCAAGGCTGTGTAAGGTGTCACATTATAGGTAGTGGGCTCCAGAAAGCCAAGCTTCATAACACAATTGTTTTCAACTAATGTTAACACTCTGAAAAAAATGAGGTTTATAAATATTTTGGACATATATTCATATAGAAATATATTGTTATTTTCTGTTTGATAAAAATAATTTTGAACAATTAAAAATGTGTCATACTATAAAGTTCAATAAACTTTCTTGGTGCCAAAGTGTTATTTGCTTTTGGCGGGTTAATAAAATGTCTAATACAAGGGCATTAAAGTGTAAATCATTAGATATAAGATTCATAATATATAAGTTTTAAAGATGCTACGGTAAAGGTTATGAAATCTTTTAAAGAACTTTTATAGTGGAGATTAGAGTTAGATTGACTACAGGAGAATCCAAAGTTTACAAGAATATGAATTTCCATGGGATGTATGTAATTAAGAGTTGAAAAAAAATCCAACTCCTGAAGCCACTTAGGACTGTGTCTGAATCAAACACCTGTCTACTTTGTTGGTTGTATTTTTATAGACTACAGACTAGCCAAGAGTGTGAAATGATCTTGTAATGATCACTCAGTTAATTAGCTTAACATTTCTACCATTTGGTGTTGTGAGTGACTTTTCGGATCATCCTTCTAATAAAGAGAAAGTCCATGAATAGGAACCCTAACAGGTTACATTGGGTTCAAGCTCAAGAAACAATCTCCAGCTTCACTTGGAGAGCTAGCAGTGGGTCTTGGGTCTAGCTGGCAGTTGGTAAACATTCCTGGTTGGAGAGAGTTTTCTTTTGGATAACTCATGTTTCCTTGTCAACAATCTCAGTAGGACAAGTGAGAATAATTGTTTTAAAGTTAGGAAAGGGTTTGGAATTTTCAAATATTTCCCACCCTAATGTAACCATAAACAAGTCTGCTTCCATATTTAAGGGTTTTGTGGGTAATAAGTGGAACATTGTCATGCTTATTATGTATTTGCCTCCCCATATGTTCATAATAGCACAATTTATTCCATCACAGAAATAAACAGTAGCCAAAATAGACTTTGCCTATTTTGTGACACCTTGTCTCCATATAAAATAGACAGATGTTGAGGACATGTTTTCATTGCTTCTTTTTTCTCTCTGTTCTGTCAGATCAGTATGCATTCTGTCGATATATGATTGACATGTTTGTCCACGGGGATTTGAAGCCAGGTATTCCAAACAATTCTTATTGTTGTCTGCTCTAATAGCCTTTGTTTCTAAAATTGTCAGCTTTTTTTCTGTACTAAACTACATTTTCATTTAAAAACTTGCACAATGCATGCGCAGACCTAGAATAAAGACAATCAAATGCAGAAATAATAACTGGTAGTGGGGCCTTTAATTTTACTTTCATTGGCTGCTTGGCCTGTTGCAAATGAAGTCAGCTGAAAGCTCAAATATTAATATCTTCATATATAAAATGCTAATATCTTTAATAATATCTTGGAGTGAAGCAATGAGTCTCTTGATTTGATTCCTGGTAAATTTAGAAGAAAAGACTTACCACAAGGAAAAATATTAGAAAAAAATGCTTTTTCTGATAGTGGACAAATATTCATGATAAAAATTCATCACTTCTCAAATACTAAGTCTTATCTTTCGAAAACCTTTAGTGATTTGGTGATTCCAAGTGCCGAACTTTGAAGAAAGGCTTTTATTTACGGTGATTAAACCTTTACTCTTTTATATCTTTCATTTTTATCCGAACTATGCTAAGGAAATCTTAATTAAGATGGATCACTTTATTCCTTGTACTATGCCTTATAAATATTTAAAACCTGACAAAATAAATATTCTGAATGAAAGCTGACAGTTTCAAGCAAACTGTACCTGGTTACCTTCACAGTTTTGTGGAAGTCTTTCTAAAATGCTAATTATAACATGTGCATACATTGACAATCAAGGATATCATTCCAGAGCAAATATGTAATGTATTTAGTTCCTATATGTTTAAAAGCTCACAAGAATCTAATCACTCTAGAACATTAAGCCAGTCCCAGCAACTTCTCCTCCCCTATACTTTCTCTCTCTCTCTCTCTCTCTCTCTCTCTCTCTCTCTCTCTCTCTCTCTCTCTCTCTCCTCATTCTCCTTCTTTTTTCTTTCTCCATGTTTATATGATTTAGAAAGTGTGGTGAAAAAAAATGAGCCTGGAAGTTATAATACCTTATTGATGAAACTAATCTCTGCCAGTATTTGGATATACTCACCTAACAAAATTTGGTAGACACATGGAGGAAGGTAGTGAGATCATTTGGGAAAAGAAAGTTTTGGACAAAAATACACTTAATTCTTTTCTAGCACGGGACTTTAAACCAGTTACTGAACACCTGTTCTTCAATGTTCTTACATTTAAAATTAAATTTACGGTAATGACACCATATCATTTGCAAAGCATCCAATGGTGGGTGCCTGAAATGTAATATTTTAAAATTATTTTATTATAACCTCTGCATAAGTACCTCACAGAAAGGGACCACCTCAAGTCCTGATATACACATACAATAAATAAAATTTCCCTAAAAACATCTTTTGCCAACATCATTCAGCCATGGTGGTTGGAGAAAGCCTTACTCTAGCTGGATGATGACACAGCCCTATTATCCAGGACTCAGGGGGCTGAGGCAGGAGGATGGAGAGTTCCTAATGGCCCAAACTTCAGAGAAGACACTGTTGAACAAACAAAAACAAATTGAAATAGAAAGGAAGAAAAATCATATGTGCTTTGCTTTTGTAGAATCAACTGTGCTTAAAATGAGCTGTATTGTTGATATGCATGGATTGATAAATGACTAATATATATTGTTTCCTTGTTTTTTTTTTTCCTGTTATTTCCTAAATTTCAGTATTTGATAAAAATAAACCATTCTTTTGCTACTTCATCTATTTATATCATCTGCTAATAGGTCACAGAATGTTTCCTAAGAAAGTCACATGACAAAGTGAACCATGCATTGCCAAAAGCAGTGGGGGATGCTAACATTTAAGCTGTCAAAAATACTAATCAACTCTCTATGAAATCTGACAACTGCTGAAGGTCAGAAGGAACAATAAAAGCATCTCTATGGGGGTGAAAGTGGATTTTGCTAATGAATACACAGAAAGGGTCCTTCATAATGCACATGTCATGCCACTCCAAAAATCACAGATTTCAATCTACAGCAGTGTATGCTATTTTAACTCCGAGAAACCATTTCAGAGATCTGCAAGTGTAAATCTCTCACTTCTATACAGTAGATTTTGCTCTGATTTATTTCATCCCTCTACCTTTATTGTTTTGAAAGTCTAATATGTGAAACAATATTTTAGATTATTGTTTATTGGCCAGGCACCCAAACAGAAGACGGAGGATGGGGGAAGTAATGGTTCACAAACTGGTTTTTCATAAGTGATACAAGAGGGTATTACACTGTCCTATCCTTGTCAATGGGTCAGTGCCAAAATATATGATAGAATGCAGAATATAATGAGCAATTTTAAACATAAGGAAAGAACAAAAAGATTTACAATGATTTATGTGGGCACATGAATTTGAGAAAAGGCCAATGATATGATATTGACTCTGGGTAACAATTAGAGAGTGAAATGATTCCTGCCAAGCTTATCGCTCAGTATGTGTCTAGTAGTTACAAAACACTCTGTTGCTTCCATCTGCTTCTGTTTAGGATCCTGGAACACCTGTTATTGTTTAGCTGGAGTTTGGAATTAATTATTGGTAATGAGTTTTTAAAACTATCATTTGAATTTACCCTCTGGAATTCAGTAATCCCTTGTAGACTGCTGTCTTACTCGCAAAAGTAGCCCCTTTGTAGTTCAAAGGAAAAAGGAACTTTATTCTGACAACGTTAACAGTAGATATCAAGTTTTGCCTTTATATCCCATCAAAAAAGAAAAAAAGACTTCTGAGGTATCTTTAAAAGTTTAAACTGGCATGTCATGAATATAACTGAACACAAAGTAAAAGTGCCTCATTTCTCTGTAATGAACAGTGAACATGTAGTTCTTTATGATATTGATAATCCCGACCTCAGTCAGAGACCAGAAGAAAATGAATGAGTAAAATGTATAGACTGGACCAATTTTGTGTATGTAATTAGCATTCCCATATACTGATTCACTTTATGTGAAATTTGAGTCATAAGAAGGCAACGCTATATAAATCTAGAAAGGGAATAATTTACTTTCTTTTTATTTAGAAAATATTGTGAACACTGTAGATAGTCCTTTGGGAAAAGTAAATTATTATGTTGTTTCAGCCTTTAGTACTACAACAACCATGAAATCAGTTAATATTATATGTTAGCAGTGTTTCATCATGTACCTTTTCAGTGTTTCTTGTGGAGAGAGAGAGAGAGAGAGAGAGAGAGAGAGAGAGAGAGAGAGAGAGAGAGGGAGGGAGGGAGAGAGAGGGAGAGAGAGAGAGAGAGAGAGAGGGAGAGAGAGAGAGAGAGGGAGGGAGGGAGGGAGGGAGGGAGAGAGAGGAGAGAGAGAGAGAGGGAGGGAGGGAGGGAGAGAGAGAGAGAGAGAGAGAGAGAGAGAGAGAGAGAGAGAGAGAGAGAGAGAGAGAGATCTGGTCCTCTGATCCTGTGCAGTCTTGAAATTGATGATCCACTTTCACCTAGGATTAAAATGATCCATTTGTCAATTTGTCACTGTCTTATGAGACAACTACTAAAACCAGACAACACAGACATTATTTGCAACCCCGAGATTCAATTTATTCTGGTTTATTTTGTATTTTGCTGTATTTAGAAATCAAGTGTACAAATGGTTCAAGTAAAACTTTCAGTTCATTTGTACTGACCTTGTGTGTGATTCCAACTTTGTATTCAGTGCCTTGTGGCCAAGGACATTTTTCCTTAAGTAACATTTATACCCCTAGCTTCATTACTTCAGTAACCTGAACAAAAGCATCAAGATTCTTCTTGTCATACTCTCTCTTTGTGAACTTCAGCCTAGGTCTAATGAACTTATCTGGATTTCTTAGCAGAGTCATCCAGGCTGAAGAAGAGAAAACGTCTGTAAGTGGAAAATCTCAGGGCACACAGACATCTTGATATTCACTGTAGATGAATTAACCAATGCCTACATTTAGTACAGAGACCAGGGCTGATGTGTTCTGCATTGGTAACTGTAGCACACTTTCCCCTCGGTTCTTCACCTCTATAGCTATTATGGTTAAATTTTAAGAATACTTGAAGTTTATCTCTCAGAAGTTATCCTACAATTACAATTCTGGTAACTATATGATGCATCAGGACTTTCTTTAGACCACTAGCTCCTAAATGATGACACGGATGTAGCTAGAGTTTTCCTGCCTGGCCCACAGTCAGGACAAATCTCTCTCACCTGCCAGTCCCACAGCCGCTCAGACCCGACCAAGTAAACACAGAGACTTATACTGGTTACAAACTGTACGGCCGTGGCAGGCTTCTTGCTAACTTTTCTTACAGCTTAAATTAATCCATTTCTATAAATCTATACCTTGCCACATGGCTCATGGCTGTGGCTTACTGGCATCTTTACATGCTGTTTGTCATCACAGCGGCTGGCAGTGTCTCTGACTCAGCCTTCCACTTCCCAGCTTTATTCTCCTCCTTGTCCCGCCTATACTTCCTGCTTGGCCACTGGCCAATCAGTGATTTATTTATTGACCAATCAGCAACATACTTGACATACAGACCATCCCACAGCACACGGAGACTTCTTATTAATTATGAAAGCTCTACCTTCGCTTAGATTTGTTCCCAACTAGCTCTTGCAACTTAAATTAACCAGTTTATATTCACTTACATTCTGACACATGACTTGTTACTGTATGTCTGACTTCTTCCACGTCTTTCTGGTGAATCCCCTGCCTCTCAGATTCATCCCTCTAGTTCCTCCCTCCCTGGAAGTCCCGCCTATCCTCTCCTGCCTTGCTCTTGACCATTCAGCTCTTTACTAACCCAATCAGAAAGTGCCTTAGGCAGAACGAGGTAAAACAGAAAGTGATTATTCTACAACAATATGACTTTTACTTAATAACTTGTGTCAAGGTAATTTATTTCACTTTTTATGTCATTTGTTTCCCTAAAATTGAGGGAAAATATTTACCTTACCAAATTCTATTTGACTGCAATAAATTATTCTTCTATAGCCTGTATTCCATCTCAATGGGCTTTAAACTCTG